ACGTAGACACACTGTTCTTAAAGTGATTTATTTATCATCCTGTGTGGAGTTAATCTTGCGCAACTGTTTTCCTGTCATCCTACCTGGGATAATAAAAACATAGAGCTATGGTTGTTTTTAGTCATCTGAGGAATACCTAAATCAAGCCGATTTTACGTAACGTTGAGCAAAATATGAGGTGAGATTTCAGAAATGATGCTGACAAAATTAAGCAGGTTCTTTTTGAGGATATTACAAGGAAGTAAGGTAGACAAGCCAGTCAAGTTGTTATTGATATAATTTCATTTACTAAATTAATTGAAAAATCCTGCGAGTTAAGCTTCTCTCTGCCACTACCACATTTTCAAATTAAGAGTGCCGATTCATGATGCACCTATAAATTGCAGAGAGATGAAGGTAAGGTTTTGTGTCCATGAAAGGCCGAGGGTAGGACCAAACGAAACGAAAATAGAGGCTTATCTCAGGTTTATCGTGAGGTGGCTTGTGCACCCGATCAGCAAAGATTTTCTCGTTACTGTTAATCCCAGTAAGAAGAAACTTGCTTTGGATCACCACTAATTTGTTTGATAAAAGAGAATTAGGGATTTAGGGATTCTAGTTTACAGACTGGACGATTGCTCGAGAGAAGAGATTTGTAATTGTACTCAAGTACGTTCTTTTTGCACCCAAGGTCATGTTGCGTGACATGTACGCTTTTAAAGGAAATTGACGTGTACTTTGTCAGTTATAACATTGACTGAAATAATTCATATCGTCATAGCTGAAGGATATCCTTTTGTACCCGCACTGAAGCGAGTTCCGGATGAACGGAGGAAATTCTTTAAGTCTTTGCATTGACCTCCCTGATTCGGCGATTTATTACCTTTGAATAACTAAAAAAATTCCAACGTAAATATCGGTCAATTTGGCATTTTCGTCGAGCAGACAAAGAGCAACTCTTTGCAGGACAGGAAACATTATAGCGTACTTCCGGTAATCCTTAACAGTTCATCTTTTTCAGTAAGGTGCCGCAGAAATATTTGACATTTTTAACCTAAAGAAAAATTAAGGTGGTCATATAATTGAAAGAAAACTTGCTTTTTTTAAAACCAAAGAAGGAGTAGCTATTTTATGCACCTAGTGATAAGCTAAGTTTTTTTTTTCTGACACAAAAAAATAAAGTTCATTGATATCAAGTATTTGAATGATAGGAAATTTCCCATTAAATTTTAAGGACGTTTTTCTTGCAAATTGTGCGCTGCTAGCTGGACCAATAACCTTTAAATGTTTGGGAGGAGGAAAAGAAATCGATGATACTTTTCCTTATTACTTAGTCTCTTAGGAATTTTTTTAGTCATTCATAAAAAGTGTCTGTTTCCGTGACCGATAAATTGTCGGTTTCGCTGCACAAAAGATTTTCTCTGTCGCGAGCTTTTCATGCGCGCAAATTGAAGTGTTCCATTAATAGACTGATGTACTTTCTGGAGACAAATGTTTGGCCCCACTTATATTTTTTGCAACATTTCGAGAAATTAGGATTAAGTCCGCCCTTTTTAGCTCCGCCAACTTACAGCGATTTAGTTGCAATTTCAATCGCGAATCAAAGAGAATGGAAGAAAAAAATATTAGAAGAAATTTTCCTATACGTTGCACGCACCCTTGTCACCGCAGCGCCAAAAAATTCCGCACTCCAAAAGCTGCTATTGCCGATCGCGTGAGCAGTCTTATCGGCGTAAATGTTGCCGGTAATATACAGCCATTATGCCATATTTGGGCACAACCATGTCAACGAAAAAGAAATAGCGACCTGGTGGAATTTAAACACGCTTAACAATTCTCAAATGACATGCACGCCCTGTCTTAGTGGCAAAAAATGTAGTTCTCGAAGCATGTTTTGTTTCTAAGGAAAACACAACTTTTTTAAGTCGATGACGGAATATTTTTTTAAAGCTGTATGGCGCCCCACGTCTAAGGGCTCCTCCAGTGCGTAATACAAGATGGCGGCGAGGTAGTATGACGTAGTCAACATGTGACGTCACAAAAGAGAGCCTTATTAACCTTTGTCGCTCTAGGGCAATATTGAATTGTGTTCCATCAATCCATCTGTTGTTCTCAGTGGTGGTTACCGTAAATAGTTACTCAAGGGTGTAATCGTAATCAACACACTATTTTGGTTTTCGATATCAACGGGAATTTTAGTCAGTTGTTCGCTGTGGTCAAGGCGATAGTGCATCGTAAGGACAGATCGCTAGCTTGACACGCGAGAAACAAAAAAAGGAACCCGCCTAGGACATCTTTACAGAGGTGAATAGTGCGTTTGCTGACTTTTTTTTTCTAATCTCTTTGTCTGTGTTTGAGTTTTTTTAATTATTCAGGGCTTATTGCGTGTAGAAAAACAAGTCTGCGGTGGTGTAACTCAAGTGAAACTTGTTATGCGCAAAGGCGATCTAAGGTTAAAATCGGCGAAGTTACGGGGCAAAGTGTGGATTTGATGCTCACTGTAACTTATTACGTTTTTGTCGTTATTTCAGATGCCTGAATTCACGCGAGATAACTGTGCGCCCTTGGGGCAGGAATTTTTTGATTCGATGGACCGTGTAGACGAAGGTGCATTAGCGAGACTTATAGTGGAGATGCAGCTTAATAAACTACAGGACTTGCCAGATCTTCGCACGTTATTCTTCAGAAGAAAACAACAGCAAATGAATTACGTTGCGTCGCAGTACGGTAGGATTCCAGCTTACAGAGCCGTACAGCAACAATATACACCCGTGCGAGGAAAGCCATGGGCTATGCACGCTTGAAATTTCACGGTTGGTTGTCAAGGAACTATGCTCTCTAGAGTGACCTTACAAAGCTGAAATGACAGATATGATGTATATAGAACGAAGAGACAGTATTTATGTGGAAGAGAAATCACATGTAACACTACAGCGGGACTGTACTGTTCGTTGCCAGCACGCAGAACTTAATTATGCATCGACAAACCGATATCTTCTTCCAGGAGAAAAACACAGATATCTGTGCGTGATTCAAGGGCCATTTTAAAAATTAAATTTCTTAAATCTCTAACATAATATTCCTAGATGAGACCGCAGAGAGGACAAAGGGCTCTACTTCGAATATTCAAATATCGCTTAGATTAAACACAACGAATATAATTTTTCAGTAAACGCCTTTGTTTCTTAAGAAAAAAAAAGCCGGTAAAAAACATCGCTATGTACAGAAAAAGCAATTAATTTAAAGACCGTATTTTTGTGAAGTTCGAGAAAAAAAGTTATGAAAGGAAATTAAGAACCAAGCACACTCAACAAAATTCATTAAGTTTGGTAATATTCTCATGTGCGTGACAAAAAAGAAGAAATTATTTACAGATGTAAATTTAAGTAAGATTTGTATATAGCCGAATAGAAATTAAAAAAGATTTGCATAAAACTGAACTGTACGCAGCTGCCTTCCATTGTAACCGAACAAGACTCCCTTCAATCGCTTTTTAAATTAAGCCTGTGTGGTTTGAACGAGCCAACGTGGGCAGATGATTTCAGGGCTAAACATATTGAGAAATACTTTTAGCCCAGAAAAAAAAAAAATCCTTAATGGAGTGCTAATTTAATATAAAGACCATAGACACCCTCGTATCGTGAATTGGTGGTCTCCTGGTTCACTTTAGGATCGAGATTATTTGCAAGCATTTTGAACGTCGATTCATTTTATTTTATTGGCACTGGAAGGAGTTAACATTTTTAAAACAAAAAATACTGAGCTACGGTTTATTTCCGAGCACCATGAATGACAAAGCAGTTGTTATACAGAGTTGTTCGGGACACTCGTAAACTAACAATGCATGCACTCAATGGAAGAAAATCATTTGCAACGCTCCATAGAGTCGCGCATTGTTGGTGGATTTTAAAATCTTGGAAAATCTAACAGCTCGGTTAGATTTCTAAAGAGAGGTGACCTGTGCCAGCTCAAAGCGGGCCGATATTGTGGTCAATGTATCGGCTATCAAAGCCTCAGTGGCACGCATTTTTTCGTGTCCGCTAGGGCTGTCATTTTGAAAGAGTCTTGAAACGCCTGACCTCGCTGAGACAATTAATCTTATACAGAGCCTTTCTTTCGTTTGTCAATTTTTTTTCTAAGCCGTCAGTTTGGAAAGTAATAAAAACGCCAGGACAATTAATTCTGCATTAAGAAGGGCGCTTATCAAAATAGGTCGTCAAGTACAGTCTAATTGTGTGTAAAAACTGGAAATGTACTCTCCAGAAGGTTTTACATGTGACCGATTTCCGCCCAAGAAAAGAGAATTTCCTTTTGATGCATGAGTTGTGAAGCCTTCTGCGACAGAGAAAGAAAAAGGGGGGGAAGTTTTGGTGTATAACCGGCGGCGTACCATGTTTTGTGTATTGATAGATGATAAAACCTATTATCCTCTTCAGTTAAGCGTATCGTTCCTACATTGTAGATTATAAACCTTCCATATGCTTGAAATCAAATTAACCCCGCGGAGCCCACCATTTTCGGCTCACCGACTAAAGCATTTACTGCTTGTTGTTGCAAATCTAAGAAAAAAAAACTAGAAGAACTCTAAATCGTGCAGCTCAGCATTCTCAGTGATACTAGGGAGCTTAAGCAACAACGTCGACGACGGCTACCAAAACGTCACTTATAAAGTGAAGTCGCGCTGCTTCAAACTTCATCGCGCTGATTCCATCTCGTTCAATTCGTCAAATTCTGGCAATTTTTTTCTGGAGTTGAATTCTAAAAGAGCGTAACGAAGTTCAAGGAAAGAAAAACAAAGTCGTCCGCGTTCACGTTCTCTACAATGTACGTGAAATTAGGCATTTTCACGTCGTAGTCGTAAAATGACAGAAAAGAAATGTACAAAAAGGCGTGATGCACGTGCAGAGTTGTTGTTTTACCAATCTAAACCTATTGCTGTTTTGCCGTTCTCGTTGATATCGCCGTCGTCGTTGCTTTAGCTCCCTACTAATTGAACATTATAAGACAGCTAGTAGTCGCAATGCCTGGTAGTGGAAATAACATGCTGCCGTTATCGCCATGTACTTACGTGGGTAACCGCAATACAGATTACTTGAATACGAGATAGAGACTTACAGCGCAGTATAGTTAGTACGTTAAGATTTATCGAATACGTGCTGATGAACATAAAAACAACATCATATGGATAGCCACATTTGTATAACACATATAATACAGTAGAGTAGAAACTCAGTGATATTCATTTAAATGGTTTCCTGACAGTCGTTAAGTTTGATGACTTTGACAATGCCGGGTTTGCGAGTACCGGACGCAACTGTTTAAGATCTATAAGTAATTTTTCGACGATTGCTTCTCATGCTTGCATCCTTTCCATCCTTGTCATAAATCTTAGAGACCTACTATCAGTCCCGCTTTTAAGTTGATATTTGATTCTGAAACAACATTGTTAGGTGTGGTTGGAAGGAGGGAAGGCAGCTTAAGTCTACGAAGTAATTCAGTTGTTGTTGAGCATTGTAGCGGGTGTTTGCCGCTTTTCTCAGTTGTACTCTGAACGGAATTTCTTCGCAATGGATGTGTTCCCCTTTTAAGGAGTCGCTCGCCATGGCACGCTAAGATTTTGTCAATTTCTAGCGGCTGTCATCTTGGCATTTTTTTCAGTTATTACAGCAAGAGAAGGCTCATTCTCTCTTAGTTACAGACCATATGTTGCAATGTTTCATACTGAGACCATGGTAGAAAACTGACAAAATGTTCTGTGCTGACGTACATGCTCACATTCACACAACAGAATATATAAAAAAACAACTGATAGACTTGACATTCAGTCCCCCACAATTTGAGGATCTCGTCAAGTCATTAAAAGGGAGGGTCTATGGTCAAGTGAATTTCAGACCAAAAAACCTTAATTTTACAGTATTCTATATCATATACGCCCTTACCAATTCACAAATGAGGTATTTTAAAGGAGATAGCTCTTTTTCTGTCTTGCCTAACATGGAGGACAGTTATTGAATGTGGCGAGATTTTTAATGCCGGAGAGACCAAGAAAAACTGAGAACAAACTCCTGAAGCGAAAACGTGTTTGCTTTATGTGAAAAATGTTGAATGATTTCAAAACCAATCATCGTCTTATTTATTTGCCAGTGGAGATCACATTCTTCTGAGCGGATAATGAGTGGACAGGGAAACGTTATGCCAAATATCCTCTCTTTCAGGCTACTCTTTGAAATACAAATACCGCATCCGAAATAAAACCAAAATAAATGACTTGCCCAAGTCGCATTGCATTGTTTGACGAAGTGCGAAATGGTAGCCGGACCGAAGTCTAAAAGACGAGGAAATCGCGGACGGAAGAAGCTGTTACCAGTGCCGCCAAAATTAGAGTCGCTTTCAAAAGATTTTTTGCTTTCCTTGTTTTATGGAATAAAGAGCAGTTAATAATGATGGCTGTCATGGGTTTATCGCTACCTTTAATTTTGGTGGCCGCGGATATATTTGAAATACGCGCCTCTTTGGATTAAGTCGGCACCACCCACAACCCGTACCCTCTCTTGAATATTTAAACCCATCTTCCTTTGCCTTATGAATTCAGCTACCATTTTTTTTTTTTTTGCCAAGGTCGATGTAGTCTTATTGTAAGAACATAATTTTCATGAGTTCATAATGAGGGTAGCTGCGATCGTATATAGGTTCTAGTTTAGTGGTGGATCCAGTGGTCTGGATTCCCAAAATAGAACCTATGAAATTGTTGCCACTGACAGTTCGTACGCCTAAGAATCTACCCTCTTGACGTTTACTAAAGTAAAGTATTGTGTAACTACATAAGTGGGGAGCTTTAATGGCGTAAGTCTGGCTTCCATAGTAACACATTCCTTGAAGTGGCCACAGAAACTAGTATGATGCACCGTTTAGGAATGCAGGGTTAGAAAAGAGAATTTTCTCCTTTTTTGAATCGCAACAAAGCACTCTGTGATAGGAAAGGCTTCGGTTGAAATTGTTTACAACAGTCGATAGCTGCCATCTGTTAAGTTGCGATATTTCAGAATTGGTTGATGAGCAACAGCTTAATTTTAAGTGCAACCTCCTCGCTAGCAGGGATCTAAATATGATGTCTTAGTTCCGGCACAGGTGAAAATGAAAGTTAATACCAAGGGAAGCTTACTTCCTTCTTTTTTGAGGCGCGGTATGGTCCGGGATTGTTGCCAGTTGTGAAAAACCAAATATCCTGAAATCTTAGTTTGAGTTTAACAATTTCGCATCCGTACATTGGTTGTCTTCGTTGTCTCTTGCACGTGGTTGCGCATTCATATCAATTTTTACACTCGTGCTTCAAACGATCACTGCTAACTGCTTCAATAACTGAACTGTATACCTTTGTGAAAGACACTGCAGAACTACCTTAATTAAGGGAGTTTTTTTCAGAGCACATTACTGACTCAGATGTTTTCACGCACGAATATTTGGCTCAGCTTGCTTACATGAAGTCACTGAGATTTGTACGTAACTACAGGTGTTTAGCTGTAGTTGGTATTTCAAAGACCTTTAATTCCATAAGAATTCCAAACGCTGATCCAAGTATGGAAATAACTTGTAGTTTGCTCACTATTAAAGATATTTCGTAGCCACTTTGCCGAGAAAGCTGTGTGATTGAGAAAAACAACGTCAGTAGTTCATGGATGCCAAGGATATCAGGAACTTTTGAAAAGATCTTTTAATTGAAGTTCCAATGTAATCTTTGACAAGGCTCGCTTGGATAGAAGCCATTTCCTAGAAAAACGCGTCGGCATCGAAATATAACCATTAAAGCGAGCACTACAAGTAGTGCTACAGGACCGTGCTGACCAGGGATCGATACTTACCATTCACATAGGGAAACCGGAACTCCTTGTTGGAAAATCAAATATTTTGCGCCATCCATTAATGGGCTGGGCTGTGATTTGAGGTGATATAATTTGTCTACTTTTTTCGGCTGATTTGGATGATGCTTTGTCGCGGGTCCTCCTCCAACAACGTCAGGATTGTTTATGGGAAATTGAAGGTGCTCCCGAGTTGTTTGCCATTTGCATGCACGGCTCGCCTGGCCAATACCTCACGCATGCGCAAAGCCACATCACTTTCGTACCGGAATCGCGTTTTGTTTAGGTCTGAAACTTGTATCAAAAATGGCTTTTAAGAAATGGAACACGAATTTCCGTTTGGAATATCCCGTCCCGAATAAAGAAAACGGGAGCATCTTTTCAGATGTTCCGTTGGTCCCGAATTTTTCTGCTGGAACGACCCAAATATGTCGTGTTCCATTAACTTTCCAGCCGGATTTTCTGGAAAACTTTCGCAATTGGTAAACGACCCCGGTCTTACAATAATAATTTTCCAAATTGAACTCCGCATCTTGTTTGGCTGTGGGGAAATCTTAAAAGAGATTCCAAATATGTAACTGTGAGAACTATTTGAAAAAATATGTTAAAAATATCCTGCTATAAACTTGCGTGATGTTCATAAAGACTTGGCAGCGATGACTCTGCATATTGGCCCACTAAGATGTGAAGTGCAAACACTCTCAAGTAAATAAATCGACATCTGTTTGTTTCAAGGGCCTGTTTCTCGAAAGTCCCAGTAACTTTTCGGCCCCGAAATCAAATATTTATAAAAAAATCTTAAGAAAACAAGCGCGGATCCCAGCTTTCAAACCAGTTCATTTTGATGACAGTGTTCGTTGACAGTTTTATCATATTATTTGCAAAACTAGTTTTCTACTATCGAGACCTCGATCTTGAAACTGCAGCTTTTCGGGCCCGTTAATTATCGAGACTTTAGAGAAACGGCCCCCAGGACCGAGACATAGGAGGTCAATGATCATCAATTGATGATCCCTGAGTTCTTTAATAATTCATTTTGTAACGTTGAAAATAAATTGAGGCTTAAGCTTGACAAGTCCTTAAAATAAGAGGGGCCAAGTTTCCCCTTTAATTGTCGTTTACTTTTCATTATTTCTACACATAAATTAGTCGCTTCACGCAATTTTTTATCGATAAGAACAGTCAGTTTTAAGCTGTTTTCAGCATCTGCTCTTTTTTTATCTTGAGAAATTCTCAACTTGAATCAGACGTTTGCCGTATACGGGAAGCTAAAACTCTCTAATATAGTGCAGTTTTAGTAACACGACACTTTGATAAATGGCAAATACAAAATGACAGGAGTATAACTGCTATACTGGC